TGGGGGGGGGGTGGGGGGGGGGCTGAGGGTGGAAATGGCTTACGTCTGAAAATATCTAATGAACTTGCTAAATTTGATAAGGCTTCTCCAACCTAATATAGGCGGTAATGCAAGAACTGACAGGCTATGTATATTAAAAAGTCAAATTATTGTAGTCTTCAGCATTCAAAAGGGGGTTCAAAACTACTACCCCACCCACCCATCCCCATCACTGCTGCTTTTTAAGGATTTTTAAGTCAGCAGAGTTATAAATGATCAACTGTTACAGAGCGCCTTCCAGCACTTGGAAGCAAGACAGATTTTTATCAAGGAACAGCAGCCGCAAGAAAGCGTGCGTATATTCTTTTCCTTTTGCTGTTAGCCATATACCAGAACCTCAACAAGTTAAACCCCTGCAGCAAATTTCCAAAAACAATGGCTTTGAGTCGTCCTGGCCTTCACAAGGAGAGCAGGATTACACGCCATGGCGTAATCCACTGGAGGCAATCACCCAGGATTTTCTGCGAGGGGGTCATTCGAAAAAAACCGAGGGAAGAATGCTCTGCTGTTCCAACCTGCCACTTCTTGCTCAGGAACCAATTTGCATCACCAGAGAAGTGTCAAATTATGGAGATGCAGTTAAAAAAGCCCCAAAGAAAGCATTTTCCTGGGCTACGGTTTGAAAGGGGAAGGCTAGCCAATTAAAGGGAATGAGAAGGGGGGGAAGGAACGGGCACAAATTACCGTGCGCACACAAATGAGCGAGCGCGGCCCCGCGGACCACAGCGAGCACGCAATCCGGCACAGGGGGCGAACGCAGCCCCCGAACCAGCGCGGCCGCTGCCCGCGGAGGAGTTAATCGAGCCGAGGCAGGTCAAAAGGGCTCGGGAGGAAGGGGATGGAGGAAGGGAAGCACTGCCAGGTCTGCCTGCACAAGAAGGGGGAACGCGCCCGCAGCCTTGCTTCCACCTCTGCACCCAGTCACCATCAGGGTGGAAAGCCAGGAAAACCACCGAAAAAAGCCCAACCTGCGATTTGCTAAACACACCGGGAAGGAAGACTACTGGGGGGGGGGGGGGGGAAAAAAAAAAAATCTCCCCCGGACCCTGGAACCTGGAGAGAGACAGAGACATTTCATTAAATGCCATTAATCTCCACAGACCCAAGCATTAGCGAGTTAATTAGACTAAAGTACAGTCACATTTTAACGCTGAGCATTCGGTATTCAACCGGGATAAATGAACAACTAAAGTCCAAAACCTTAATTCAGTAACTAATTAAAAACCAGAAAACAAAAAATCCCGATTATGAAATGCAGTCCAGAATAATACGTCATAGCTGATGTAAAATCTGTTCTTTATCGCATCTGATTCTCTCCCATTTCTTGATAATGCTCCTTTCAATCTTAAGATTTTTTTTTTTTTCCAAGCGCCCTGTAAAAATCCCAACGCTTTAGAAAGGACAAGTGCGTAAAAAGCAGAAACAGACACTGCTGACCTCTCCAGAGAGAGCAAGTTCCTGCTACGAGTGGAATCCAGCGCACGTTCCAGGATTTGCCCCACACTGGAAAGATGTCTGTTACCAAAAACAAACAAACAAAAAAAAAAAAGCCACACAAAAAAACCCCCCAAACACCTACATGGAGAAAAACAAAACCCCCGCTGCAAAAATGACCCGATTTTGCATTCCTTAACACAAAAATTTAACTCGCTGAAATCCTCAGCATAAGACATGCCCTGGTTTTTTTAATTGTTACAGAAGAAATCACACGGGACAGCTTAACAGCTCCATTGTAAGCGTTATAAACTTTTACAAATAACACTATAGAAACAGATAACCGGTAATTGAGGACAGTTTAAAATGTAAATAAGCCTTTAAAAGTTATTGGGGAGGGAGAAGGGGACATCAGCCACAGTGCAAGATCATGAAACCCTTCAAAATTCTGGTATCTTCAAATTGTATCTTAAAGCCAGCATCAATCCAACAGCCCAGCCCAGAAGCCACAGGCCCTACAAACTATAAACTCTTTGCCTCGCGCAGGAGAAAGCCAGGCACGCCATTATGAGCTAATTAGTCATTAGGTACATCCTGTGAAGAAAAGAACCTCTGAATATTTGACTACAGTAGTTTGGTTCAAAATTCTGCAAGCAGGCTGTTGGGGTTTGGTCTCTTTTGTTTTTTTTCCCTCTCTTAAAGAAACCACTAGCACATCTCCTGCTATATGCCTAGGGTGCTTAAATTACACATCGTTTTTCCTAGATGCATATTCTGTACAATATTGAACATTATGGTTCCACACGCTATTGAACTGCTTGCTTTCATGAGGAGCTATATGCAATAAAATTGTTAGGTTGAACTCATTCGGGGAGTCTCCTGCCACCAACTTGAAACCACTCTTCCTTACTGACTCGCATCCACAACTCCGCAGCCTCGTCTTTACGTTTTTGAACGGAACACTGAAGTAACCCAAGATGACTGGAGCGTGCACAAGTAGCACACACCAGCTAAATGAAGTTCCTCCGACAGACTCTCACAAACAAATAAAAAAAAGCCGAAAGTCAATTACGAGTCAGTTACGGGTTTTCTTTCAGCCTCTGGCTTTCAAAATTCCAACACAACTGAGCGCACATCTGGGTTTGAAGCCCATCGGTTGTTTTGGTTAGGCTCAGCCTAAAGAGCAACAACTGCTTTATTCCATAAGCAACTCCTCCAGAAGAAATGGCACCCGCGCTCTTTCGGAGCAAGCATGCGGACAGAAGCTCCTCCGCACGTGGCCACAGCGCCTCTGTCCCAGCGTGGCAAGCGGCCACGCTCCAGCAAGAGCGCCCTGGAAGAAGGAGGTCAGCTCCTCCAGCCAGCCTGATCAGCGACGAGACTTAAAGCTCATTGTTTCACTGCTCTTGCAAAAGAATACCCCGTGGCCCGAAGAGTTCAGAGCTTCATCAGAAACTCGCTACCCAACGCTTATTAGTCGCCAAACGCATCTCTGAAGTTATACAAAAGGACATTTGCAAACAATGAAGGCAGAGATATATTCCCATCCATCACAACCACAGAACTGAAAGCTCAGCTCCAAACAAGCCTGAAGTCTGCACTTAATCCAAACGCTCTTCATAAACACCATGCAAAACACATTGCGTAAAATAGCATAACAAACGCGAGTAACGCAGCCACAGTCTCCCGCTAGAACCAGAGGAGGCTCTGCCTTCCAGCCAGCCGCGACCGGCCGGGACGCTGCGAGGAGACGGTTAAACCGGAGACACGAAATAGCGCACAAAGCAGCTCTCCTGGAGTTTCACAGCCATACGCTGATACCCTTAAGACGCCATGCACTCCGGCTTTAAAAGCTTTCATTGCCAATTCCCTGTTTGAAACCTGAACTGCCTGGCAACAACGGTTCTCTGTGTGCCTAAAATCCTATTATCGATCCTCCTACTTACCTTAGGCTGTGCTCGTCGGGGAAATGCAACTTTAGGGTCAATCTGAGGAAAGAGAAAGGGGAAATCAACAAGATAGTTTTTGTTGTCAATTTATACACTTCTTTTTTTTAAAAAAAAAAAAAAAATCACTGAATTATTAATCCCTCATTTCTCAGGCTTATAGTTCAGCACATCGGGTCATCTAGAACTACTCTGGAACTGATGGGTTTTTCTGGGGGTTTTTTGGCAGGGGGAGGGAGATGGGAGGAAAAGAACAGGAAGCAAACATCTCTTCCGCACACCTCCTACATCACCTTCGGGGCGACAAGCTCCGCTGGTGCTCGGGGAGCTCTCTGTTCAGCCTCTGGGTGCTGCCTCTCCCACCAAAACTGCACATTAAACGCTGTTGCATACGCTGGAGGCTGCACAGCAAGACAGCCAGCACTCCTGATCGAGACCTTAACCTGTTGGTTTTGACACCCGCACTTTCCTTCAGCTGGGTTTTGGGTTACTTTGGTTTTCTTTTATTTTTCTGCTTTGTCAACTGACTAGCACCACCCCGCAAAAAAGAAATGCAAAACACAAAGTCGAATTATTTGCACTTCAATTATTAAAACTAAAACATCAGAAGGGCTACAAGATTACCCTTCGCAACAGTATGCAAACTGATCCGGTGTGCTCACCCTCAAAGAACATATGGGAGCAACGAAAGACTCCAAAGGGGCGTTTATGGGAAGGGTGGGGAGAGCACGACACAAATGAGACATACAAGCATTTTAAACCAGAAGAAACCAAGTTCTTAAAAAAGATTTTCCATGAAGGAGTTACCTAAATTATCCTTGAATGAAGCAGGCCACCACAGAGACAAAAAGAAGGGGGAAAAAAGAAAAAAAAAAAAAAAAAAAAAAATCATCTTTGTTTTACCCCATGCTCCCTTGTTTTAAGAAGCAGCATTGACTCTCATCGCGCTGCAGAAATTAGGAAGCGTGTCCACTCTGCAATTCCAAAATGCTAATTCTGCAATTTTAAAAACAACTTCCACATGGGTCATCCCTAAGAAGCGACTCTTCTCTACCATTCAAAAAAATCACTTCAAACCAAAAAGACTCCCCTGCAGATGCATGGCTGGACGGAAATAAAAATCAAAGCTTTTAAACAACTGCCCACCTTAAGCTGTCATCTTTAAAAATGATTGCAATAACACGTCTACGTGCTGCTGATTTCACCTCTGGTTTTCAGCAGCACCTGCACACAGCCACGTTCGAAATAAAAGAGTCTGGAAAAGGATTTTTTTAAAGGACTGAATCCTACCTTAACTCTGCAACTTGTGGCTGCGTTCAGTGTCATCTCCGGCTATGTAAAACTGATTAAACTAATCCTCATTGTGTTAAGGCATATTTGGAAGCAGAGGCTGGGTTTGGGTTTTGTTGGGGTTTTCCCCCCTCAAGCTAACCCTGATTAGGAAGAGGAGATGTTTCCATTTGGGATTGTTATTCTTGTGGTGATAAATATTCCTGTCACTGATAAAAAAAACCACGGGCCTCTCCTAAAAAGCAGGTTTACTCAATTAATTTGTCAAAATTGGAAATAGCACAAACATCTGATGTGCGACTGATAAACTGATTTGTCTACATCAGATACAAGCGCAGCATCTTTTTTTAGGACATACCTGAGAAATGAGCGATTACATGCCACTTTATTGTTCAAAAAGCATAAAAAGTAAAATTCTTTATCTAGAAAGCTAACCTTTTCAGAGAGATTAACATTATCTACAAATATATTCAGCACTGACTAGGCATTTGTCTACGGGGGGAATACAACAGGTACGGATTTTCCACAGCGATACCCAAAGCTGGAGGCAGAGACGCACCTTTCTACATTTGCTTCAAAAGCAAAAGTTTTCTCAACAAAGAACACCGGTCCCACCAGAAGGGCATCACTGCAAAGTCCCACTGGTTGAGAGTTGGAAGAGCCATTAAACTCTAAAGCAACACATTCATTTTTGAAGGTCAGTTCAAAGAGCACGGAGTTCTTTGCACCACAGCGACAGCCCTTCTTAAATAACTGAATTTTCCTTCACAAAACCTTTTGGATAAACACCGCCGGCGTTTGAACGCTAGCAGTCAACGTGGCAGATCCATACCTTTTGCATGTCCCTGTCAACTATTTAAACAACAACAACAAAGAAAAAAAATATTCTACAAAAAAAAAAAAAAAATAAAATTAGTTAGTTAGGTACAATTCTACTTACTGTATCTACAAGTCCTCTAGGAAATGACTATAATACTATTTCTGATATGAATGGCCATTACCTAAACAAAGCTTTTAACGTAACTGTAAACAAGAGCGACGTTTCCATGCCAATACCCAACCGATCTGCCTCCTGTGCTGAACGTTGAAACAGAGTCAAATGCTATGTTATACTAAAGAACAGTTACTACAAAACGTCTACAAATAAACGGCTGAAAGGGAACCTGGCTAGTTTTATGTTCTACTTCTAAGCTGCGTTACTGATTCTAAGGTCGATTTCTTGTTTAGATTGATTCAGTCATTATCACACAATCAAAACTGAGGCAAATTTGTCCTGGTCAAGCCTTTCACCCCTCCCCCAGAGAACAGCAAATTAATACATTGCAGGGACTAGACTGTGCTACGGGAAAAAAGCTGGGGGAGGACCTAATTATAGTCAGAAATATGACAGGGTGTCCTCCCATCATTTTTTTTTTTTTTTTTTTAAACCCTCGTTCGAGATACTGTTTGCCTTTGTTCATCTTATCTAAATTTATCTTTAAAAACACATAGAGAATATAGCTGTACATGAAAAGTCTGGTGAGTTTAATCTCAGGAACACAGTCGAATCAGTTATCTTACCATATCTGATTAAACCTAAAATCAAATTATTAAGGCATGTGAAAGCATGGGCTACGCGTTCAGACAAGCCCAGCAGAATTTGTAGGTCGAATTAAAACACTAGATTCCACCTGCTTCTATCAGAGCTTTGGGCTTTTTGTTTTCATATAAATTACATTTAAAAAAAAAAAACAAAAAACCAAAAAAAAAAAATCATACACGCATGTTTGCCCCCTGCTTCTTCTATTCTTCATTTAACTGTAACCTCATACACACAGGCACACACAAGACGTTCCAGCACCGAGACAGGACTCCTCCTAACACCACGCTCACGTTCAAATAAAACCTTTAAGACCCAGAATACACACTGTAAAAGACAGTTACAGCAACGAACACGTTCGATACGTTCAGCAGAAGCTCTCTGCCAGACAGTTAAATCAACACGATCCTTCCCTTCCCAAAACACGACCCCTTCAGAGCGATCAGCACCAAAGCAATAATGACCTCTACCAGTGTCCTTCCCCCTCCCCTCCCAGGTTTGCTGAGCCTTAAATTTGCAACAAAAGTAAGAGGCACAAAAACTTCATCTTTTTTGCATGGCCTTGATCGCAGGGAGAAAAACAGGGCCTGAAGCTACACACGCTCGGTACCTTTTGTTTGACCTGATACTGAAAACGCCGTTATCAGGTCAAGGGGTAAGCTTACACGTTGTTTGGTTGGGGGGTTTTAAATTAAAAAAAAAAAATGAGGCAAATTTAATACAAAATTAGATCAGCTGAATCTCATGAGCATTTCCCTTATGCTATCCACTGGAGACCGAGGGTAGCAAAAAGCTCTGGAGAAACAACAAATGAGGATTTGTGCTTCTCTACCACATCTACCCTCGAGCTCTCATACAGCTTTCCATAAATTAACGCGTACGTTTCATAAGGGCCCTGACATCACAGGTGAGGGAGATCTCTCCAAAAAATGACTTTGGGAAATGACACTGGAAGCAGCTTTTCGGGTTTGACAGTAAGTCACTCCCACCTTGAAAGGCGCGCACCAGTAAACAAATAATCAATCAAAAGAAGTAGAAAGTTCCCGGCAGAAAGCATTCTGCAGTGGAACACCAAAAAAAGTTGGATTTTACTCTACAATTTTTTCAATGTCACCGCTCGATAAAATACAAGGCTGGGGGAGGAGCCATCGGTCTGTATGGGTAAATTCGGATTTTAAAAAAAAGAAAGTTACCGCTTTTCTGAAGTTAAAGGCGGACTCTAGGAAAAAAGGGGGGAAAAAAAAAAAACCCAACTCCTAACCATGCAAAGTCCCGGTTCAATGACAGCTTGACGCCGCCCCGCAAAAAGCCAGCCGAA